CCCCACACCCTTTAAGGTGAGCCCATGTGTGACTCTCGTCCTATCACTTCTGCTGGAGGGTGAGCCCAGCACCACGTGACCATCAGAGCAGTCTCCCCGCCATCTCCATGATCTTACTTAAGGGGAGTCTTCATAACGCTGAGTCACTGCCTTGAGAGGGATTCGCCAAGGTCACCGATTTTAGTCATCCCTGGAGTCACCCTTATCTGAGGTGACAGGCCACAGGCCTGGTGTGCTACCCTGGATACACCAGCCCCAAGGGGAAAACCTAGAGGGCACCCACTAAGGCTTGTAAATACTCAGGGCTGGGGGGCATCAGGCACGGACAAGGCAATGTGCTCAGTGACTACCCAAAAGAAGAAGCCAAACCTTTTCTAAAGATTTTACGTCTAAGTGACATAAAACCAGAATGAAGGGTTTCCATACACACTGAGCCCTTGTAATCTTTTGCCAAAATCAGCAGGATTCTGAAGGTTCTGGAAACTCTGCACACTGAGTTAATGTGGACAGTCATATCCAGAACAAATATTTAAATGTAAGCTGGAAAGAAGGAGAGATGGATGCCAGGAATCAAAGAGGAAACGGCCGCCGGAGGGGAAAGGTGAGGCGGCCGCAGTGCTGGCCAACAGAGGCTAAGGCCTCAGACGGAGGCCCCAGGAACCTGGACTTTTAGCACCTACGCAAGAGCAGGGCAGGGAGCCAGAGCTGAGACCTGACACGAGCCAGGGCTCTGAGTGCCGCCTAGAATAAGCCTAGGAGGTTTCCTCTCTAGAGACAGGGCAGGGAAACTTGTCATCGCTCTGGCTCTGGGCTGAAGGAGAAAGAAAAGCCTCTTGAGGAATCAGAACCACGAACTGTGCCAGGTGGACATGGAACAGGGATCCTAAGCCAAAAATGCAACAGACACTAATCCTAAACCTCTCAAACCCACGGGCCCCGACAGATCTAAGCACAGAACCACCACGCAGGACACCTGCCACCCAGGACCCAGAGGGCCCACGGAAGACACGGCCTCACCGAAGGCGGGCTGGTGGTACAAAGGATCTCCCCCAAACACTGAGAGGAAACAAATGAATCAGGCTGAGGCACAACCAGCATTTATGAGAACCAGAAGGAACCAGTGAAAAACTACAAAATACTCAGAGAGAAAAGGGAAGAGGAGCTGTAAGGAAGGAGAGGATATTTAAAAAAGAGGAGTAGATCTGAAAAGGAACCAAGCCAACCCCTGGAAATGAAAAGGTGTTTACAAAAGATCATATACAAGAAGTAAAAACCCCCAAAAAACTTCTCAGCAGTGAGAGTCAGGTACGACATGGGAAATGCAGCGTAGTCCTCTGCTCCGTGTTTGTGTGGTGAGCACAGGCCCTTGGACACACTGCTGGGGACACAAAGGAAGAGGAGATGACCTGATGTTTAGCCTTCAAAACATCGAAGGAAGGGAACCGAGGAGAGGAGCCAGAATATGATGAGTTATTTCTCTCTAAGCTTTTCATAATTTCTACTCTTTTAGAAAATTTCTATGATGTACAGATTTCATTTTCAAATAGCAAAGGGAGTATTAGTGCCTTTTATTCCACCAAAACATATCTTTCCTGGTCAGAACAACACTGAATTTATCACACAACCTACTGGCCTATTAAATGAATCCTTAGTCTTTGGTCAAAGGAAACATGGTGTTTGGAATAAACAATGGAAGGGCAGCCTCACAGCTCATGCCACAGGGTGCAAAGGCCCGCAAAGAGGGCTCCTGATTAGGTGAAAAAGGTACTGGGGTTATGGACCCAATGCTCGGCTCCTGGGCAATGAGAGGAGAAACCAGACAACACTGCACGGGGCTCCCCAGAGGGAGCAGAAGTCAGGTCTGAGCGGAGTGGGTGGGACCGAGGTCAGCCAGCTTGGAAACACAGGGCTGATCCCTGTACCTGCTGCTGCTGCCTGAAGTCTTCCCAGGCTTAACTGAGACTCATGCCTGAGCCACACCGAAGGCAGTGATGTGTGTGCTGAGCAAGTCACCCCGAGTGTGTCAGGGATGACCACTGCTCATAGCTCCTCTCCCCTCAACAGAAGGGGAATGACCACAGGTGGGCCTGCTCTTTCTTCTGAGGACAGTGCTGGTCTCAATAGGAGAGACCGATCACAAACTGTTAACTCAGCACCACTGAGACCCACCCTGACCTGACGACCTTCCTTGGATTCTTAAACTCATGGTGACTGGGCGTCAGCCCGAGAGCCCCTCCCTCAGGTCTCAACTCCTGGGAGCCAGGGACCCTGCAAAAATCCAAGGCTGTGCAAATCAGGCCTTTGCACATGGGAGAGGGGAGCTTGGAAAGCAGGTTTGGGAGCCCCTACTCCCCACGTCAGTGGGCCTGGCAGCAAAGCCCAGGACCCGCAGGAGCTGACCCTGTGGGTGTCCATCACTCCCACAGGTCTGCTGAGAGTGGGCTGCAGGGTGATGGGACCATGCTCCTGGTCCGTTTCCACTTCCCAATAGGAGGCATCATCCATCCAAGAAAGCAGCCCCTGCTCTAGAGATGTGAGCCGACGACACAGCCAGTGGGGAGCTGCCCGGGAGCGTATCAGGAAACACTAACTGCACAGCACTAGCAAACCTCACTGAGGGCGTGGTGATCTGAGCAGAGTCCACATGGCACCAAAGACATGTCCAGCCCAAGGGACCCCTGACATACTGGAGCTGTCCTTGTCTACCAGCGAGGCTCCGGCTCTCCTCTGGGGAGAGGCGACTGAGCAGAAATGGGGCTGATTTCTCATCATTGGCTGACCAGTTTCCAGGGGCCTATTTTCCTCCTGATGACAGTCGAGTAAATGGGAACAGGGTTCTCGAGCAGCTCCCCCCTCCCCAGGCCAGGATACCTTCATGGCCATCAGCTCCTGCATCAGCACCGCGTTTTCGAGATCCAGCCGCTGGCTGTCTCCCCGGGGCTTGACGTCGTAGCTCAGCGGGTCGATGTGGATGCTCTCCAGCTCCAGCATGGTCAGCTTCACCGCGGCCCTGTCGTTCTTAAGCTGCTGGATGTAGTCCTTCAGCCTCTGCTCATCTTCTTTAGTGAACTCTGTGTCACAGCTGCTGGCCGTGGAGCTGGTCGTGCTGGGAAGAGAGACAGAAAAGCCGTCACATTTCCAAGTCATCGATAACAGGTCCTCTCTCCTCACAGTTCTCCATACCTCACTTCTCCAACAATATTTACATTGCAGTCCAGGGAAAAAAAAAGCATTCTTGCCCGGTTGGCATGGCTCAGTGGTTGAGCGACGACCTATGAACCAGGAGGTCAGGGCACATGCCTGCGCTGTGGGCTCGATCCCCAGTTGGGGGGAGTGCAGGAAGCAGCTGATCAATGACTCTCATCAGTGATGTTTCTCTCTCTTTCTCCCTCTCCCTTCCTCTCTCTGAAATCAATAGAAATATATATATTNGGCTCGATCCCCAGTTGGGGGGAGTGCAGGAAGCAGCTGATCAATGACTCTCATCAGTGATGTTTCTCTCTCTCTCTCCCTCCCCCTTCCTCTCTCTGAAATCAATAGAAATATATATATTTTTTAAAAAGCATTCTTCATGGCATAGTAAATTGATATCACCTTTTAGGACATAAATATAAAGAATAACAGAAATATTTATACCCTTTAACACAACAGTGTGGGCCCTAGGAGTGAATTCTAAGGAAATAATTCCACAAAAGCAACAAAATACACATATACAAAGATGTTTCATGGGATACAGGGTTTAGTGGTTATAGTACACAGCAAAGGAAGGGAAATTATGTGGACATTAGAGTAGTAATTATGACAGTGGTGGAGATATTTTAAGTAAGGAAATAGGATAAAAAAATCATACGTGAGTTATAAAAATAGGTGTATATATAGACAGGACTTAAAAAATGGATAAGATCAGGGAACAAAGCAAGTTGAAAAACAAAATGCCTATGGCACGATCTACAGATTGTGTGTGTGTGTACATACTCACACGTGCCCCTGACTGCTGACAGCAGTCCCCTCGGGGTGAGAGCTGGAAGGAGTGGGAGTGAAGGGGAGGCTTTGTACCTTGAAAGCCATAGTAGGTGTAATACAGCCACACATGGGGAGCGCAGGTGCTCCGAGGCCTCCTGGCCATTCCTCCCAAATTGTGACTAAGTAGAATGTCTACCACAGGGACCCAACGGGTCCACAGAGCTCTTGGTCACCCACACTGGATGGTGACCGGGCAGGGGCTGCCAGACCTGAGGCTGAGCCCAAGAAGGTTTCTGTGGGACCCAGGCCATGAAAAGGTGGGTGCTATAAGAAAACTGAGGCTATGGCTCTCGAGAGGGTTCTAGTCTTTGCCAGCAGCAGGTGGGCAGTTCCAATGGCTCAGAATGGGGCCCTCTCCACTTGGCCAGTCTGTGAGCATCTGAGGCCAGCATGGACCTACCGCAGTTTCTCTGGACCTATCCTGGACCCGCCTATGCTTGCCATGGCCCTCATGGAACTGGTTTTGGAAGGATGGTAGAAAAACTAGCAGAGGCGCCCTGAACTCTCAAAATCGGCCAGGTTGGCATTGCCATCTCTGTCATTACAGATTTGGAAACAGGCTCAGAGACATTGAATGGCTTGTCTGGTCAAGAGGCTGGATGCTGGTGTGATTGGACTTAGGCCACAGCCTTCTCATTCCACAGCCCTGTCTTCCCAAGAGTCCCACTGCTAGAAGCTGTGCCTGGAGCAAGAAGTGACATCCACAGGCTGCTGGCTGCCCTGATGCCCAGGCCCAACCTCCTCTACCTACACCAGAATAGGTGTGACAAGGCCCCGACGCAGTAGATGTAACCTCCCCCTAACCTAGCTGTGACCCAGGGCCATTCCACTCTTGTATGTGACACACACAAGCTGGTAGTGTATGTCAGAAAGAGAATATCTCAGGGCTTGGGATGGTCTTCAAGTCAGAGAACTTTTTCCTACCAGGACAGGAAGCTCACGAACACCAGAAACTCTTTGGGGCTGCCCCCTCCCTTCACCCCACCTGGACAGGTAGGACAACCTTGGAGATGAAGGGAGCAGGATCAGCTGACGGACACATAGCACCTCTTCAGAGCTGTGGCAATTAATTTCATGCATCAGCTAGGCGAGGCTGTGGGGTCCAGGCTTGGCCGGGTACCTGTCTTAGACTTTGCTGTGAAGGTCATGTTTGGATGTGGTTACCGTTTAAATCAGTAGCTTTGAGTAAAGCAGATTAGCCTCCTTAATGTGGGTGGACTCATCCAATTAGTTGAAATTCTTAAGAGAAAAGACTGAGATCTCCAAAGAAAGAAGAAATTCTGCTTCCAGCCAGTCTCCAAACTCAAGACTGCAACACCAACACTTCCTTGGATCTCCAGCCTGCATGTCTGCCCTGCAGATTTAGGACTTGTCAGCCCCATAATCACATGAGCCAATCCCTTAAAATCAATCACTCCCCCCCCCTCACCCCACACATACACACACACCGCACATCCTTATTGGTTCCATTTCTCTGCAGAACCTAATACAGACGTACTACCTTTACCTGGGACCCCAGCACCTTTCACGCTTTGTAGCTGTAGAGGGAACACGACTCAGCCTCTCTATGCCTATTTCCTCACCTATAAAATGAAGGCAACAGCACTACACGTATCATAAGGTTGTGGTGAGAATTAAATGTGGCAATAGTGCCCAGCACATAGTAAGCACTCAATAAATGTAGCTATCACTAATTTATGTAAGAAATACTGGAGTACCTACTATAGGGCACTCTTCTAGGCCCTAGAAAAACCTCTGCCCTAGTGGAACTCATCATATTCTATTGGGGAAGACAAGCCAGTAAAATATATAGTACATCAGACAGTGAGACGGGCCATGGAGAAAAACGAAGCAGTTATAGGGAATGCAGAGGGGGTGGACTATTCTTCAAAACAGAGTTGTAGGGAAGGCCAGCATGATAAAATTATGCTGAGTAGACCTTAAAGGAGGTAAGAAAGGGAGCTATGTGGATATTTGGAGGAAAAGTATCCAGGCAGGGGACTTGGCAAGTGCAAAGGCCCCGAGGCAGCAAGAATGAGATGGTGGCTGAATCAGATCAGCAAAGGAAGAGGGAGGAGGAGACTGGATCAGAGAGGAGGGTGTGTGCGAGGGGAAGGTGCCAGGTCACGCAGGGTTTTATAAGGGTTGTTTGCGTCTTTTCCTCTGACAGTATCCGTCTTACATTTTAGTAGGACCCCTCTGGCTGCTGTGCCAAGAGATGCTCTGAGGCAAGGAGACCAGGGGCTATTGCAACAATCTTGGGGGGAGCTGGCAAAGCTGGGAAGGCAGGAAGGGGGATTAAAGTTAATAGTCACTGCTATGTTTCCTCAGGCTGTATTTAAAAAGAATGAGGGAGAAGTGACACCCTCTTGTTGGACACGTCTAGTGACACCCTGCAGTGGGCGCAATTTCATAAAGAAATGAAGCAGCATCCCTAGCAGAAGGCACAGGGGAGCCCGCAGGGCATCTGCGGATGGCGGCTGCCCTATGAGAGGGTCTCCCTCACAGGAGAAAAACAGGGTTCCCCCTTCAGCATCTCAGCGCCCTTCAGTGAAGACCCACCGGCAAGCAGATCGGTGGTAGGCACAGCCGTTCAGGTAGGACACCTCCACAGATCGTCAGCACTGACAGAGGGACAGACAAAGCAGTCCACAGGGCTGAGTATGAGGCGCTCGGGGGGCAGTGTGGCGCTGGGGAGTACAGAGGCTTCCCTTCCAGTGAGCTGGCAGGCGGCCTCAGGGATGGAATCCTCTCCCCTGGAGCTGGACTCGGGACCAGAAGTCCACTCTAGAACCCTAGCTCTTCCTCTCTTTGAAAAATGTTGAACGTACAGAAGAACACGGAGAATACCCAATACCTATGTACCAGGTACCCAGATGACTTTTGTCATATTTTCTTCAGGCTACTTAAGACACACAACATTTACACTGGAGGCATCCTTTGTTTTCTTGCACTTACAGAAATTTCTAAAATTCAAAGAGCACTAGGAGCCAGAGTTCTCTAATTATTCCGCAGGCCACGACTGAAGGGACAAATGTTTTGGCAGATTTTCCATTTAGCAGGACCAGTCTACCCCAGAGGTAGTCAGAGAGTAGTCGCTGGCCTGGCCACAGCAGTGTCACCTGGGACCTTGGTAGAAATCCACAGTCCCAGGCCCACCCCCAAGACCTACAGGAATCGGGAACTCTGAAGGGGGCCTAGTAAGCTGCATTTAATGCCCCCATTTCCCCCAGTGATCATAAGGCAANGAAGGGGGCCTAGTAAGCTGCATTTAATGCCCCTGTTTCCCCCAGTGATCATAAGGCAAAGCCAGGTTTAGGATCAACTGGTCTACCCCAAAGGTTAAGTGGGCATTTGCACTGTAGCTTGCGAGGTAATGGGACCCTCCCAGATTCTCTAAGGAGAGGCCACTATGCTCTCGGGCTGATGTGCTGGGTGCCAGTGATTAAGAGCAGATCTCTGACACCAGACAGACCTGAGTAAATGAACTTCCTCCACCAACACCCAGGGTTGTTATGGCCCAGAGTAAATCACCCAGCTTTCTGGGCTGCGGTGAAGTGGGATCCTTATAGTCCCCACGTCGCCATACTGTGGAAAGGGGACAATGGGCCCGGAAGCAGGCAGATACAGCACTTGCTCTGGAGAAGGAGGGACAGCTGTGCCAGTGGCCCCTCAGCACCCAACACTGGACTGAGGAACTCCTGCCAGGGGTGTCAGACACCTACCGGGTCATGCAGGAAACCCACATGAGGGAGAAGCAAAGCAGCAGGTGGTTGACCTGATTTGAGAAACCACCTAGACCATCCGGGAGACAGGAGCGTGGATGGGCAGAGGCTGGCGGGCTCTGGGGTATCCTGGAACCCGCTAGGGTCCAGGGCTTGGACCCCAGCCAGGAGGGGAGGGCTTCTGTTTCATCATCTCTGCTAAGGGTGTAGTTTTCAGAAAGAAAGAAAGAGAGAAAAGAACAAGAATTCCTTGCACAGATCCTACCCCGTCAGAAGCTCAGAGCTTTAAAACGCTTTTACCAGGGGAAAGTTTAATTCTGAGATAAGCACCACAGCCCCGCACCCCTCTGGCTCCCCT